AGATCGAAATGGACCCGCAATCTATTCAAAAAACTGCATTTGTCACAAACGATGGTCATTATGAGTTTTTAGTGATGCCATTTGGTTTAAAAATGCTGCTTCAACGTTTCAAAGGATAATCCAACATATTCTAGGTGAATTATTATGGAAAGGAACTTGCTCTTTCCAAGATGACATATTGGTGTACACGAAAACATGGCAAGAGCACATAGAGCTTCTTAGTAAAGTTTTTGACAAATTAAGACAGTACAACATGAAATTAAAATTGTCGAAATGTATTTTTGGAAGAACTGAAGTAAAATACCTCGGACATATAATCAGTCACAACCAATTAAAACCTGATCCAGGAAAAGTAAAATCTATTCAAGACTTTCCAAGACCTGATACTGTAAAGAAAGTTCGTCAGTTCATGGGATTGGCAAATTATTACAGAAAATTTGTTAAGGACTTTTCTAAAATTTCATTCCCCTTGGTTCGACTCACTCGGAAGAATCAGCCCTTCATCTGGAATGAGGAAGTAGAGGAGTCGTTCGCTAAACTTAAAATGGCACTATCTACAAAACCTGTCCTTGCTATTTACAACCCGGACTACCCCTCTAAAGTTTATACAGATGCCTCCAAATATGGAATTGGAGCAATCCTAACACAAATTGGTCCAGACAATGAGGAACATGTAATTGCTTATTACTCCAAAACACTGCAACCACACCAAGAGAATTATTCTGCTTATGAGATGGAATGCCTAGCCGTGATACAAGCAACTGATCACTTTCATGTATACATAGAAAACCAACCATTTGAAATCATCACTGATCATGCGGCGCTCCAATGGCTTTTCACCATGAAGAAACCGAAACCTAAGTATTTTAGATGGATTCTTGGTTTATCCTCGAAATCATGTAACATCGTTCATCGTTCTGGAAAGCAACAAACTCATGTTGACGCCTTATCAAGACTCCCAGTTGTTAACATTGCAACTCAAGAACTTCAAGAACACCAACAAAATTCAGATTTGAGTTTCTTGAAAAATTCCCACACTCACGACGGTGTGGTAATGATCAAACAAAAAGGAGTTTTTAAAGCAGTTGTCCCAAACTCGCTTACAAAAAAAATATTGGAAGAATATCACGATTCATTGAGTCACCCATCAATAACCAAAACATGCAAACTTATAACTCAATGTTATTGGTGGAAAGGAATAATAACTGATATCAAGAATTATGTTCGATCTTGTAAATCTTGTCAACTAGTGAAGGTCAGACATGAACCAACTTTAGGAGAAATGATCACTCCAACGTCAAATATCCAACCATTACAAATGATCGGTTGTGACACTATTGTACTGGGAACAGCAGCAGCTAACACAAAGCATAAATTCATTCAAGTTTTTGTTGATCACGCAACTCGTTATCTATGGGCATATCCCACAATAACAAACACTGCTCAAGCTGTTACTCAATGTCTTGATAAGATAATCAAATCTGTTAATTCGATCAATACTATCTTAACAGATAATGGCAAAAATTTTATATCAAAAGAGTTCAACAAATTTCTTTCTTTACAAGGAATTAAACACACATATACTTCGCCTTATCATCCTCAGTGCAATGGCATTTGTGAGAAATTAAATGATACGATAATGACAAAACTGAGAATAGCTGTTCTAGAGAAACCTAGATGTAAATGGAGCTCATTGTTACCGCAAGTTGTCAAAAATTATAATTCCACACCACATGACGTGACTGGTTTTTCACCGCTTTTCTTAATGTATGGAATCGGTGATGTACCCGAATTTGCCGACCAAACTCCAATTACAATTGAAGAAGCCAGGAAGAAAGCTAGCCTGCGGACAGAACAAATTAGAAGTAAGTGGAAGATTAAACACGATAGCCATCACCCCAAGTATGTCTTTAAAGAAGGAGACTTAGTCATAAGAAAAATTGCCTTCAACGACCCTCGTCTCATCAAGACATCACCAAAATATGAAGGACCATTTGTCATTCAAAAAGAGATATCTGATGTAACCTACGATATCTCTCTGAAAGACCAAAAGCAAGCAAGACGCGTTCACATATCTCAACTTCGACCATTTATTACCCGAGAATAAATGCTTCAAGAAGGGGAATATGAGACGTTACAAAAAAACAATTTTCAATTGTACATAAATTCCTTTAAGGTGTTACTTTAATTTTTCATATGTTTATTTTGAATTTCTTATTCTCATTCATTAAAAGTCAATGATGTACATGCAAAATTAGTAAAAACTCAATAAAAACGATATGTAAAAAGAGATATAAAAACAAATGGCTTGTAAAAGAAAGGAATAAAATGAGTTGAGGTAAAATGTCTATTCCATTAACAAACATTTCACTTTTAAAATAATGAACTTTAAAATTAAATTTTTACAAAACAGAAAATTAGCGTTTTAAAATAAAAACGTGGCAATATAAAAGTCAATGTCTGTCTGTTTCGCGATAAACTCAAAAACTATTGAACCAATTGGTACCAAATTTTGCATGTCGCTTTTTATAAACCTGAGGAAAATTTTCGGCTACATTTTGATTAGTATTTTTGGCTATTTCTTTTTTTCATTTGAAGAACTTTTTTTTTTACGCGGAGTAAATACGAGGCGAAGTAACAACACGAGGCCAATTAAGCAACCAATGAGCGTTCTGCATTTTTTTTCAAGTTGCTTGCGTACTTTTTTTTTATATATCTTTTTATATACGAGTGTCACTTTTTTTTACAAAAGTATTGAGAGAGAAATTTATATTACTAAGTTACGGTAAGTGCACAAAATGCAATTAAAAAAAAAAAACTTTACAAAATTAGCGTTACTGTATGTAAACAATGGCTTTCGTATTTTTTATTAATTTTTGTTCTGGCCTTTGTTTTTTTTTTATATCTTCTTATATATAAAAGTCAATGTCTGTTGTCTGTTTCGCGATAAACCCAAAAGCTACTGAACCAATTGGTACCAAATTTTGCATGTCGCTTTTAATAAACCTGAAGAAAATTTTCGGCTACATTTCGATTAGTATTTTTGGATATTTATTTTTTTCTTTGAAGAACTTTTTTTTTTTTTTTACGCGGAGTAAATACGAGGCGAATTAACAACACCAGGCCAATTAAGCGGCCAATGAGCGTTCTGCATTTTTTCAAGTTGCTTGCGTACTTTTTTGAAATATCTTTTTATAAGAGTGTTAATTTTTTTTACAAAAGTATTGAGAGAGAAATTTATATTACTAAGTTACGGTAAGTGCGCGCAATGCAATTAAAAAAAAACTTTGTAAAATTAACGTTACTGTATGTAAATAATGTCAATATGTAAATAAATCTTCATATTCTTATTAATTTTTGTTCTGGCCTTTGTTTTTTTATCTCTTTTTTTTTTTTAAATCGTTTAAAATGCAGTCGCAGTCATTAGCAAACACATATGTTTGCCTAATTTCCATGTGCTCTTTTATTTTTTTACAGAAAAATATTTACATGCCACTATTTTGCATTAATATTTTTATAAACCTATTTTTCTTATTCTTATTGAGAAGATGGGCATCGCAGTCACTCGCTCAACTTAGGCGATTTCAAGGGTTAACGCGCAGGGGCGGGTACCTCGGGGGTTGGGTGGAAAGCTGCCATCTATTTAAATTATATTGATTTTGAAACAACTAAATGGATTGCAAAAAATAATTAAATCAAATACCTAAAGACTAATATAATACAATTTTTGCCGTCACACACACTTTTTGTGTTACTTCTTTATTGCTATTCTATGGCACTTCTACTATTTATTATTGATGTAATACTTTCAGTATGAAGGAAATTGCCCTCGGGAGAATTCTCGAGCGAAGCCGGGTCATTCGTCTAGTAATATATATAAACCACTATTTAATCATCTAACTTGAACACAAAAAATTATTAACTTTTATCTTCTATATATATATATATATATAATAATAAATAGTTATTTAATTTTATAGTCCAGTTTTGTATTAAGATTATCTTCACTATTATGATCATTTAAATTCAAATTATGAATTTTGTAAAATGTTATTAATTTGTAGATAGAGAGAGAAAAAAAAAATCCTTTACTTCTACTACATCCTCAAGTTAATTATATATAATCAAATCTAACTGATATAAGTTATCATTATTATCAGTTTGCTCCTTAAGTTTTAAAATTAGAATCACTGTTATAATTTTGTTATATAGTTTCTACACTATATATATATATATATATATATATGATAAATCTAAGCTATACTCTCACTACAAAGACATTCACATATCTTTCATGACGGAGGGATACCTTTTAGGGGATTTTCCTTTCCCGGTTGTAAGACTACTCGCAAAAGTTTGAATACTTTCAATTTTTTTTAGAGAAAACCACACGAAGATGCTCTGCGGTGAGGACCCGATTTGTACCTTCTGTAATTCAAAACTAAAAAATGAAATCACTCACTATATTTTTGATTGCTATGCTCTGAAAGAAGAAAGAAGAACCCTTATGCTCAAAACTGGGCAACTCTGTGCTTCACTCCCATCAATAATTGACAATATGACCCAGAATAAGTATATTGCTACGGCGTTTTATGGTTTCCACAAGTCCATATCTCAGAAGAAGGCCAAGGGACACTCACTCCTCACTTTCTTACTGCTACTCTTTTTGTGTTGTTTTTCTTGCTTCCCTCTTTCTCTTTTTTTTTTTTCCTTTTCTTCTGTATATATCGTTATTTCCTTTGTCTCAATGCTTTGTTCTTATGCATACCTCTGGTGAATCCTGTATAGGGTCAGTGACCCTGAATAAAGCCTTTTTGTTGTTGTTGTTGTATATATATATATAATACACTGCGGCCTGTGATTGTAAAACGACACTTGAAGCTACATCGCATGAGTTTCTTTTTTAACGAAAATTAAATTTTTATTTAAAGGTGAAATATCGAATATTTCTAACCTTTTTGGATGGGGTATGAAAGGATGAATTATGAAGAGTAATGAGGGCCCCAGGGTAGCCTAGTGGACATGGCATCTGCCCGGTAAGCGGAACCTTGTGGGTTCGATTCCCATCCCTGGCAACTTTTATTTTTCCGTTCGTCATTACTCTTCATAATTCATCCTTTCATACCTCATCCAAAAAGGTTAGAAATATTCGACATTTCACCTTGAAATGAAAATTTAATTTTCGTTAAAAAAGAAACTCATGCGGTGTAGCTTCAAGTGTCGTTTTATATATATATATATAGTATAGTTATTTTTCTACAGGTAAACTCCGTATAATTGGTATAATTGTATAACGAAACAAAAGTTTTACGAAGGAGCATCTTTTATTATAGTATAATAAAAGATGCTCCTTCGTAAAACTTTTGTTTCGTTATACAATAGTAGTACAATAGTTATGAAAAATTTTAAGATTAATATTTTTTTAAAATTTAATTTAAATGTGTGAGGTTTATTTTTTTATTTTTTTTTGTAATAAATAATTAGTTAGATTATATTTAAAAAAAAAAAAGGTAACACCAGCAAAGCATCGGCAGTTACGCGTCATAGGCTGGGTGAAAAAAGGAATAAGCGAAGAGAAAGTTTTAAAGAGAAGAGCAAAGACAGAACCATGATAATAATTTTCCAAATATAAAATAAAGCTAATTAGAGAGAGAGAAGTATTTTTTGTTCTATTTTCTCTCTTGATGAGAGAAGTTAGATTTTTGTATATTTTTTTTTTTTTGGGAATTTTTTTTTAATATATATATAAGCTTATTTTAAAGACAATCTAGTGTAAATGTGGAGGACACGATATAAGATAATATATTAAATTAGGAAGGATGAAAACCTTAAGGGTTAGACCAGTTGAAAACCATAAAGGTTAGACCAGATGGAAAGAGGATGGTACTCAGGTGGGCCTCTTCAGATGAAGACCTGAGCAGCATTTTCGGCCCTTACTCCATTACTGCCAAACCATACCTCTTCGACCAAATAGAAAGCAAATTTAGGTTGGAACGGAGATTGTCATCTTCTGCACTTTCAAACCTAACTCAAAAAATGTTTTTTCAGTTCAGAAGTTAAATTGATTCGGTTCCCTAGACTTAATCAGATTGATACATACTTATCCCTTAGTGTTAAACTTTAAATCAAATTGTGTTTATTCTTTTTGGGTATAAGGACTGTAAGAGACTGATAAGAAATTAGTAATACAGTTAAATGATTATTATAAATATAGGAAAAAATGATCATATCCCAAGCCTTTAACAATGTGCGTCGACAAGGGAACAGGAATTCTAACATTAAAGAACATAGAAAAATAAACTTTGTCTGATGTTGGTAGGTTCAGATTATAGTCCAAATTGTATTCATACACTTTAAATAATAGGACTGTAGGAAAATAATAAGATATTAGTAGTATGAGAGGATAAGGATTAATTGGAACTACAAGAAAGTACGATTAAATTCAAACAAGTTAAGAATGTGCGTCATACCATAAATGGAAAAATCAGCTTCATCAAACAAAGACATAAGTCCCTTGTCTGAAGATGGTGAAAATGCTTTCCCATAATGACTCACATCATCAATTTATTTGAACTGGTCCTAACGGAACCGTATATTCTATATATAGTCCTATCTATACTTTTTTTTTAAATATAATATATGAGGACCATTACCTGTTATTTCTGCTAAATAAGGAAGTTTAGGAATTTAAGTTTTAATGCTTCATATCAATTAGATTGAATGTTCATTCTCTATACCCCCCTTTATAAAGATTGAACACGCATAGATAATTGTTATGTATGCTATAAGGAGAGAAAAAAAATATTCTAAAGTTATCGTATATATTTAAAGGATCAAACAAAGTAAGAATTAGAGAAAACACAGAAATAAAGGTATGGTATTGGTAAGCAAAGGTAAAAAGAACAAATCCAAACAAATAAACAATGTGCTACGTTTCGGCATCAGCGTCGCTACAATCTTCAGACAAGTTTGAAGAGGGCCACAATGTCGCTACCGAAATGCCACACACCACTCATTCACTCGGACTCGGTCCCGTTACCTTGTGTTTATAATTTATAATCCAGATTGTGCTTTATTAGTATGGTATTGGTGTTTCAGAATATTGAATTTAATAGTTTCTATTAGTGTAGATGGAATTTTTTTTCCATTAATTTAAAATCTTAATTATTATTTGTTTTAAGTCCAATTAAAAGGGGTGAAGAAAAAAGAAACAAGGAACATGAAAAAAAAAAAATAGAAAAAAAAAGGAAAAAATAAATAAAATAGGAAAGGAGAGAAAGATGAGGTGGAATAATAAAAGAAATTTTCTTTGAAAATATTTATATTAGCTTATAAGTACACTTAATTAATGTGATAGCATTCGTTATGAATCTTATGATTTCAAGAGTATTTACCTATAATTAAATTATTTATTATCTAGATTAGCGGAATGTAGTTAGTGTTAGTAAATCAAGAGAGATAGATGATGTGACTCTTGTTAGTTGCCTCATTGTCTACAAGTGAAATTAGCATTTAGATTGAGTGTTCCAGTTGAAGTCAGTATTGCTGTTAAGATTATTATAGATCATTCATTTATATGTATTGAATTGCGGTTCATGTTATCAACTTAAAATTCAATATATGCATGTTACAATTAACATCACAAGCAAATTCTACTCACCCAGGGGGACACGGTTAATGTCTATAAATACATTTTCGATTTAAAAGTTAGCGGAGAAAAACAAGTTTGAATAATCGGTCAAAAGTTAATTAAATTCTCATAGTGAAATTTTTAAAGTCATTGAAGTTGAAATTATATGAGAATTTATTTTTGTGAAGATATTTTCTGATTGCTAAAATGTTAATTTTTCTAATTGTATTTTGGCTGAATCCATTTTTTTGAAATTCGTCATTTAAGTTTTTAATTTTACTTATAAAGTTGTTTAGTTTGTTGTTAATTCTGTAGTATCTTAAAAATTGTCCAAAATAGATACCTTTGGTGCAATTTTTTTATATATTTGAATCTTGTGAATCTAATTTTAGAAACATTTCTTAAATTCAATTATATTCAAATTAAAAATCAAATTTACAATAAAAAACAAGGAGTTAACAATTAATAGGCAATCCCATAATATTTTATGTTCAAATCAATAAGCTTAAGGGATAAGTCTCTTTCAAATACATTTATTTCAAGCTTTCGGGCATTACTGCCTCAATAGAAAAATTGATTTACCTGAAATTTACAATATAATATTCCCTGCAGCCACCTAACCCCCCTCTGTATCATGAACTCTGCGATTCAATGAATAATCTTTTATTTCCGATATTTCAATGGGCTAAACGGCCATCTTTTTCAAAGATCTCATCCCCTCTCGCGGCAAGCCTCGCATTACACTTGAGACACGGGCGTCTCACAAATGTATATATAGATTAGATCCGAAAACTTTAGTACCTAATATAATTTTTCCTGTCGAAGGGCAGTAATGCCCGAAAGCTTGAAATAAATGTATTTGAAAGAGACTTATCCCTCAAGCTTATTGATTTGAACAAAAACAAGGAGTACCTATGGGTACGTCATCGAGTCCATTATTGGCCAACCTCCTGTTATTTTGGTATGAGAGGGAATTCTTTTCTCTTAACAAAGTTAACTGGTGGTTGTTCCGATATGTAGATGACATACTTATATTCAATAATAATAATTTTTCAAAATTAATAGAAAAAATCTATCCTCCGTATCTAAATCTAAAAAATAATGAAAACATCAAATTTAATCAAAGAGTCAACTTCCTCGATTTATACATAAATCTAAAAGAAAAAAGTATAGAGGTATATGACAAAAGATCAAATTTCGATTTCAACATTATTAAATATAATAGACAAGATTCATATATATCAAAAAATTGCACCAAAGGTATCTATTTTGGACAATTTTTAAGATACTACAGAATTAACAACAAACTAAACAACTTTATAAGTAAAATTAAAAACTTAAATGACGAATTAAAAAAAATGGATTCAGCCAAAATACAATTAGAAAAATTAACATTTTAGCAATCAGAAAATATCTTCACAAAAATAAATTCTCATATAATTTCAACTTCAATGACTTTAAAAATTTCACTATGAGAATTTAATTAACTTTTGACCGATTATTCAAACTTGTTTTTCTCCGCTAACTTTTAAATCGAAAATTTATTTATAGACATTAACCGTTTCCCCCTGGGTGAGTAGAATTTGCTTGTGATGTTAATTGTAACATGCATATATTGAATTTTAAGTTGATAACATGAACCGCAATTCAATACATATAAATGAATGATCTATAATAATGTTAACAGCAATACTGACTTCAACTGGAACACTCAATCTAAATGCTACTTTCACTTGTAGACAATGAGGCAACTAACAAGAGTCACATCATCTATCTCTCTTGATTTACTAACACTAACTACATTCCGCTAATCTAGATAATAAATAATTTAATTATAGGTAAATACTCTTGAAATCACAACATTCATAACGAATGCTATCACATTAATTAAGTGTACTTATAAGCTATTATAAATATTTTCAAAGAAATTTTCTTTTATTATTCCACCTCATCTTTCTCTCCTTTCCTATTTTATTTATTTTTTTCATTTTTTTCTATTTTTCTATTTTTTTTTCATGTTCCTTGTTTCTTTTTTCTTCACCCCTTTTAATTGGATTTAAAACAAATAATAATTAAGATTTTAAATTAATGGAAAAAAAATCCATCTACACTAATAGAAACTATTAAATTCAATATTCTGAAACACCAATACCATACTAATAAAGCACAATCTGGATTATAAATTATAAACACAAGGTAACGGGACCGAGTCCGAGTGAATGAGTGGTGTGTGGCATTTCGGTAGCGACATTGTGGCCCTCTTCAGACTTGTCTGAAGATTGTAGCGACGCTGATGCCGAAAAAGTATAGCTAGGACTATGTATAACGAATCAAAAGTTTTTACGAAGGAGTATCTTTTATTATATTTGTGCAAGCTTTCGAACTTTGCAGTTCTTCCACAGGCACGGATAGCACAGAAATACTACCATTTTTTTTCTAAATATT